AGGAGTGCCATGTTGTTGGCAAAGCTGTGGCAGCTGACAGCCAGTGCTGTTCATTGGCCCAGTTTGAGGTGGTGATGCTTGCTTTTGGGGGCTGCCGAACGAGTCCAGGAGTATGGAGGCTTCTGCCTAGGAAAGCTGGGGAGGAAAATGCTGCATTTCGCAGAAGTTGTGTGGGTTAAACTGCAAGTTTTGGAGATGAGCTGTTGGGAGGCCCATCCGGCGTGCGTCACACGGGTATCTCTCTCTTCGCAGGGCTGGGAAAGAAACCCAAAGTCGTGACTCCAGCAGAGCCCTGCGTGTCTCCAAAAGCCCCACTCTGAGTTCATCCAACCAGCAAGGCTGTGCAGTGTGAGAATCGGTACGTAAACACGTTTCACAGGCGCGAGGGGCAACCTCTCAGAAGGATTTGTGGCTTTTCTGTCAGTAGCACCTTGTTCATGGCTCTCTGCAAGTCCTCTCCTAATGAAGTGTGGAGCCGGGGTGGGATCACTGGAAAATACAAGACAAACTGGTGGTTCATTGGTGGTGCTTGCACCCAGAGGCTTTGGTGGGGAAGGGCTTGGCAGCAGAGAGAAGCTGCGGGTGTTCAGAAGTCAGCTTGGACTGTGGAGCTGAGGCTTTAGACGCGCTCTGTTGAGCGGTGTGTTGTGTGACAGCACACATGGATAGGTGATGGGGGGGGTAATGACAAATGCACGCGTGAGAAATCCACATATATATACACACACACGCTGTACAAATCTAGGCACATGGAAACAAAGATGCGCAATGCATATATAGTATATACTATATGGTGGCATATGAGAGCTTGGGGGTGTATATACCAAATGTCTGTATATACTATATATGGCGATAAAAGAATGCATATGCATTCATGTTCTCTTTTTTCTTTTTCTGTCTGTTCTGTCTTTCTGTGGAGCTGTTGCAAAACTACCAGATTCAACCTCCTGGGGAGCCTTTCTGGCCAAGGTTTCACAAGCCAGCACCTGCTTTGCCTGCCTGACTTCTTTCTATATTTATTCCTCTGCACCCAGTTTTTGCCTTTGCCTGCATAAATGGAACTGTCACAAACATTTGTGCTAACTTTTGGCTGCACAGGACTTCAGCTTGGAAGTCCCAAGTCTGCTTTTGTGCACGCTGGGGGAGGAGGCATATGTGTGCGTAGCTGTGCATGTGTGCATATAAGCATCCCTGGTCCTTGCTGTCTGCATTATGTGGTCTGTGTTCCTGTGACACTGCAGCAGTCCCTGTGTTCTGTATGCCATGCAAATTGCGCTCTCTGCCCCTTCAAGACATTTTTATGAATCAAATATTCTCAGTCGTCCTGCTTATGTAATGTCATTTAAATGAAATTAGCAACGCCTGACCCAGTGGCCGACTGATAATGATCTGTGCAGGAGGCTTGGGTTGGATATCATTCCCAGATCCCCAAGTTTTTACTTTCCAGGGTTAGGACTGTGGCAAGGAGAGGGACTTGTGGTGCCATGTAGCAGGGAGCTCCTGGTTAGGCTGTGGTTGGACGCGTCCATCCTTCTGGTTTCTCTCCTCTGTGTCATTTGGGGTAGAAGGTGCTCTAAAGCAGAGACACTGAATGCCAGCTGATGCTTAGGTACCACTGTTTAAAGTGAGCACGGTAGCAAAGGAGAGGGTGTAATGCCATTTCAGCTGGATAACTGAGGGGAGATCCTAATGCTGTCCTGGGGAATGTCAATCTGGGGGAATAGTAGCATGGTGGGTCTCCAATCAGCAAATGCTGCTTGGATGAGACGCGTGCTCGTTCCTGGTACGATGGGTATGACTTGTGCTTATTGAAAAGCAGTGCTGGGCTGCCTGCCAGGAGCCGGGAACCGGCTTGTCCTTGCGTGCTCAGGCCCCCGAGCTCCCAGCCCCTCTAACAGCTATATTCGTTTCTGGCACGGGAGTCCCTCTAAGGTCGCAAAGCCATTAGTCCCAGGTTTCAACCCCAGGAGCCATAAAACGTACCCCGCCTGACCCCTGTGCAAAGGCAGAGGCAGCGCCAGCAGCCTGCATTCCCCTGGGTTTCGTTTCCCTGTCCCCACCGTGTGTGCCACTGCAGCCTGCATTCCTCTCTGGTTCAGTAAGCCCTTTGCCTCTCAAGCTGACACAGCTAGTATTTCCTCCACTGGCAGGGCAGGCGAGGTAGTGGCATTTAACTGTTAAGGAGAACCTCAGTCTGTTTGTGCTGTGGGAGCTCAGGGCAGTAAGGGCTGGTGCATGCCTGGGACGGGGTTTTCTGCTATTCCAGGTGCTGCTCCTCCATGCTTTTTTTTCCCTTCCTTGACTTATATTATTGCCTACTTCATCCCGCTGTTTGTCCTTGCACAAAGCAATGCCTTGGGAATTGTTTTCTGCAAGGAGCTGGAAAACTGAGTCAGAGTTTGTAAAACCTGCACCTCCTTGACCCTTCTTAGCCTGGTTTTGGAGCATCTTCTAGCACCGTGACTACTGTGCTCAGAATATCTCTATTTCTAACCGTGGAAAATGCTCCTGGTGACCTGGCTGCTGGCTGGGGCGCATGGCTCTGGGAGAGGTTTTAGTGGGTTTTTAGAAAAATAATTGATCAGCTGCCCACCAAGGGCTAGTCCCAGCCTGCATTGCTTTGATGTTGCCCTTGTGTGCCACTTAGTGCCCCTTGTACTGTTGGCTCTTTAAAGCTGCCTTTGTAACTACCAGTGTAATGGATGTGTGCTGGTGCTGCCTTGCAAGGTTTATTTTTTGCAGTGGTAGCGATGGATCACTAGGTTAAATGTGGTTCTTATTCAAAAAGGCAGAAAGCTTTGTTTTCTTCTAAAGCAAAGGTTTACGTGGTTTTTTTGTCACCTGTGATATCAGGGGCTAAACTTGCGTTGCCACGGGCCCCTGACCTCTGCCTAGTTAGTGGAGGTAATTGTACAGCCTCTGTCGCTGCAGGATTTCGGCTCCTCCCGAAGCCTGCACTTCAGTACCAGTGAAAGCCAGATGTACTATAATGTTGCTTTTTTACGGTTTGTTTTGGCCATACATGGGCAGAGTCAGCTCTGGAATTCCTTCCCTATAAATTCAATAGCATCTTGTGGGTGGTGCTGGGGAATCACTCTGGTCTGGTTGGATCGCCTCTGCGGCCTGTTCCCCGTGAAAACGCCCCTATTTGCACATTCCTGAGAGGCTGCCTGCTCCTGGAGCCGATGGCTGCAGCTACCAGGAGGCTGTTGTCCCGTGCTGGCAGGCGCAGTCACTTCCCTGCTGCCCGCAGGTCGGCTGTTGCAGCCGAAGAGCGATGCCCGTGGGAGCAGTGGCACGGGTATATTGCTCCCGTGCGCAGGCAGACTCTGCAGGGAGAGTTGTGCCCTCTAAGTATAACTGTTCTGCCTCCTAAACTTGCTGTTTGGGCTTCAGCACTGACCCTCGAGCCCCTCTCCCAGGGGTGGGGAGGCTGGGCGTTCCCCTGTTCCCTCCTGCTATGGGATGTCGCGTCGTGTGTCCCAGCAGGGATCGAGGGGTGCTGCCATCCTGGGGCTCCTTGTCCCTGCAGGGAGATCTCACCTTGTCCAAGCAGCATGTTCCTTTCTGCAGAGCTGTGTTTTTTCCCTTTTGTAAAGCAAAATCAAATACATGTTTTTTGCGAAGCACCAGCTAGATGAGCTGGCCAGGGAATCTTTCCCTGCCCCAGGTGAGCAGCCAGGACCTCTCTGGTGGGACTGATCGCTGAGCCTTGCCTTTTTCTAGCGCTGAGCTGGTGTCACTATAAACACAGCCTCAATTTGCCTATTTGCCTTCAAAGAACACTCCAAAAAATAGTTCTGGGAGGTTTTCTGCTGATGAGTTGAGGGATGAGAGGGAGGTTTGCTGTAGGGGGCGAGGGGCGATGGCTCCTGGAGCTGCTCCTGTTACATGTCCCTGTGCATCCCTGGGAGGGGACAGGGATGCAGTGACACTCACCAAGCCAGGAGCCACCAAAGCGCAGGTCAAGACAGTGACATGTGGCCCCATGTCCTTGCTCTGCGTGGGTCAGCGACAGCGATGTGTTCGGCTCAGGCTCCAGAGGGGCAAGTCATCCCTGTGCCAAAGCCAGGGAGAGAAGGGCGATTTTTTTTTTTTTTTGACATCCTTTGGAGTTTTGATCTCCATATTTGGAAATGTTTACCCATTGCTCTGATCTATTGCAAGGGAGGGGAGGTGACTCAGGGTCTGGTGGAAGCAGGATTTGAATTCCTGTAGTAAGGTTTTTTTTTTCTCCCCCCCCTTTCTTGTTTTGGAAGCTTGTTGTGGTCAGTTTTCAGTTCTCTCTTGCTCCTGGACCTTGTTCCAAATTTGATCTGCTCGAGAGGGAAGTGTGTTAGCGAAGGAGCTTGCCTGGATGCTGGTAAGTGCATCATTGCTGCTTTAGCAAGCAACTTGGGATTTTTTTTTTTTGTTTTGTTTAGTCAGATGGATTGCATCAAAGCGTGTGCGTTGCTGGTGGAGGCAGGCATGTGGATCGCCAGTCAACAGCAAGGGACCCAATGAAACCTTCTGTAGAAGGGAAGGTTGGTTTAGTGGATTGGTCTCAAAGGCAAAATGTTTCTTCAGGCCTAGGTATAAAGATAATTTAA